TTTTGTTGTGTCCCATAGGTTTTGGCATGATGTGTCTTCATTCTCATTTGTTTCTAGGAATTTTTTAATTTCAGTTTTTATTCGTTCTATTACCCAGTAGTTTTTGAGTAGTGAATTGTTCAGCTTCCACATTTGATGTTTTTTTTTTTTTTCCTTTATCTTCCTATTATTAATTTCTAATTTTATAAAAATGTGGTGTGAGAAGATGCTTTGTAGTATTCCAGTGCTTTTGAATTTATTGAGGCTTGTTTTACGTCCTAACATATGATCTCTTCTGGAGAAGGATCAATATGCACTGGAGAAGAATGTGAATTGTGCTTTTGTTGGCTGGAATGCTCTGTACATGTCTATGAGGTTGAACTCGTTAATAGTATTGTTGAGCTCTTTTGTATCTTTGTTGTGTTTTTTTCCAATTGACCTGTCCCTCTTTGAAAGTGGTGTGGTAAAGTCTCCTACCACTATTCTAGAGTTGTCTATTGTCCTTTTAAATTCAGTTAATATTTGCTTCTTGTATTTTGGAGCATTTTCATTGAGTGCATAAATATTTATTATAGTAACGTGTTCTTTGTCAATTGACCCTTTCACCATCATATAATGTCCTTCTTTGTCTCTTATGATGTTTTTCACCTTAATGTCTATTTTATCAGAAATTAATATTACCACTCCTGCTCTTTTTTGACTACCGTTGGATTGGTATATTTTTTCTACCCCTTAACTCTTAACTTGTTTTTATCATCGTGTCTGAGATGGGTCTCTTGTATGCAGCACATCGTTGGGTCTTCTTTTCTTAACCAGTCTGCCACTCTCTTTCTCTTAATTGGTGCATTCAGTCCATTCACATTGAGTGTAATTAGTGATAGATATGAATTGATTGCTGTCATTCTGTTGCGTTTTTTTGTCAGTTGTTGGTGTTTCCTTGGTCCTTATACTTTTCTGTGCTGAGTTCGATTTGTTGTCAAATGCTTCCCCTCTTTTCTTCTTTATTGTTGGTTTTGTGCTTATTAAACACATGTTTTCCTTCCTTCTGGCTTTGCTTAGCAGGATTGTTAATTTTCTCTGTGGTTACCTTGGAGTGAACTCTTGTCTCTACATCTTTAGAATAGTGCATTCTATGAAGCCGTTGTCCTGTTTTCCACTTCATTTGGAAGTTTGTACCTAGAAGTTATATTCCCTCTAATAGGTTAGTTGCTGTTGTTGTGTGCAGATTGTCATTTGGAAGTTTGTACCTAGAAGTTTTATTCCCTCTAATAGGTTAGTTGCTGTTGTTGTGTGCAGATTGTCATTTGGAAGTTTGTACCTAGAAGTTTTATTCCTTCTAATAAGTTAGTTGCTGTTGTTGTGTGCAGATTGTCTTCCTTGATTTTTAGTGTACAATATTTTATGGTCTTATTTTGAGTTTCTATTTCTGAGTTGGTTTTAGTGTTGATTTCACATATCCTGATTTTGTTGATCTCTGTTGTGGGTTCTCTATTGGAAGGACATCCTTAAGCATTTCTTGTAGGGTTAGTCTGGTTTTCACAAAATCTCTTAATTTCTGTTTGTCAGGGAATGCCTTGATTTCACCCTCATATTTGATGGATAATTTGGTTGGATATAGGTTG